ATTTTTTCCTGATTTACAGAAGAGACCCACTAAAATGTCATTCAGTGTAACAATCTTGTCAGGCATATTTACAACAAAAATCAATTTATGACATATTAAAAAACAAATTATTTTCACCCTAAATACTAATTAGTTGTTATTTTAACTTTTTTAAATTTGTCACTATCCTAGGTTTTGCCCATTTGTCAGTAAGAATTTTTTACTCATTTAAAACCCAATAAAATTTAATATGCTCACTTATTCTTTTATATATTTTAATATGCACAGGTCAGAATAAGCATGTTGTTTGAATTTTGTACATAACTAAGTGTTACACTGAATGACAATGGAACATTATTTCAACCAAATTTTGACATTTTATTTTTCAAAAACTTATTTGAAACCTTAAATGTAGACACTTTACTTGCATTTAATGTGCTTTCTATGGACATAAAATCACTTTTGTAAATTTCTTTTGATGCGGACATCTTAATGTCTTTGACCCAAATGTATCGGTGTATTCATATTGTTTTCAATAAAAGTTTGTTTAGTTAAAAAAAGTCATGTAAGGTAACTATCTAAAAGAGATTGGATGTTTTTAATACATTTTCTGTTTTCGCTTTAGTGATATTGTTGTTTTTGTCATTTTTATTAGTAATTTTAAATGTCTATTTTTATTCATTAGTTTAAGTTTATTTTTTATTAGTTATTTTTTTTTAGTTTTCATTTTCAGTAAACAATAATAACCCTGCTAATCAATTAAAACGGTATATTTTTGATTCACCTTAAATACATCACCTTGAGTGTATACGTCTGTAACACGACTACTACTACTAATAAACAATTAATAATCAGTATTTACAAAAATTCATGTCAAACATGCATAATGCCTTAACAAAACTACTTCACCTTCAACTTTCTTCTTCTAAGAAATAATCATAAAATAATAAAACAGGGCAAGGGCAAGTCATAGAAAAGGAATATTCATGTCATATGTATGAATTGCATTCATAATTAATTTTATGAAAAAATTAATAGATTGAGAAACAGTCATTACCAAGATGGCTGCTCAATGAACCATCTACTCCAGTAAGAAATATACTGGTTATACAGTTTGCAATGCATCTCATTACAACCGCGTTCAGTAAAAAAAGCCATAGACTAGTACCTTGATATTGCTGCAGACTGAGAGGGCTTGTCTAATGTGCGCTGCTGTAGCACAGACAATGTAGGGATTTCCATCACGACAGGGTCTTTCTCTGCCCCCTCAACTTGAAAACAGTCATTAAAAATGAACCAGGGATTCCCCTTTTCACCATTTTCAGTCTGTGAAACACAAGCATCAAATACCACAATAACACTTCAGCACAGATGTAACAGTTAGAAAGTAGGTCAATTTTGAAACAGTAAATGAATTTAGACACGCAACCCCAGAAAAAAAAAAATATGCAAAAAAATAAAACATACGTTTTCAGGAAACTGGGAAGTTCCTGCTTCTGCCACAGGTAGGGTTGTTGATTCCTCTTTGCTGGTATTGTCCTGGAATGCACCCCAGTCTGAAAACCCACTGCCATCTTGCCTGGGTTCTGTCCAGTCCGCAGAGCTGAACGTGGACCAATCGTCAAAGCCTTCACAACTCTGAAAACCATCTTCACCATAACGGTCCAACATACACTCCCCCATTACACACAGCAACGCAAATACAATTCCACCTGAGAGTCTACTACTGTTCTGTCTACTGTACATCTACTTGTTCTATCGAGCTATAGCAGGATCAGCAGGGCTACCATGCCTTTATCCCTATTGACCTCAATTCTGTTGTTGTCGTTTTTGTAGCTACACTTTTGGCAGTGAGCAGTTTGTTCTCTGGTGTCCCACAGGAGGCAGGGAGTTCCCATTGTGTTTCAGAGGCAGATACACATGCTTCCTTCAAAAGACATTTCCTCAGTTGCTTTACTTCGATTACCAGGAAGAGGAATCTGGGAGGGAGAAACAAATGTAAAATATTAAAAGTTACATGAACATTGTATTTTATTTAGACGCTATCTATCTATCCATAAATGAATAAATAAATACAATGTAAAAATGTAATTGAAAAGAATAGAACAAAAAATTAACAGAACTATTTAGATATGCAAACTGTTGTTTGAATTTACAATTGTATTCCACCTGATCTACACCTTCTTAAAATATTTAAACTTTTATGTATTTTCGAACTTGTCAATTTTACATAACCAATCTTTCATAGCAGTAATTATTTTCTGTAAAAAATATGCAAAATTGTTACATTAAATTATTAATATAATCAGTTAACACGTTTAAACAATCATCTGTTAAGCATGATGCAATTAGGCTCCTAATTAAAATGTAACATAACAATGTAATGAAAAACTATTTTTTAAATAGGGGACCATGGGTTGGTCAACAGTCTGAGATGAGGGTCCCTGTGTCTGTGAAGACTGAGAACACTAAAAAAAAAAAAAAATTTACAAAAGGCCGTTTCCTTTTTATACAAATATAGGCCTACTGTATTTATATATATATTTTTTTAACAATCAGGTATCGCTATTCTGATGAAATGTACGTTGCTTTGGCTTTTCAACAATGTATTAGAGGTCATATTAAAATAAACTTGGATGTAAATAAACGATTTTTACGTCACATACTCTGAACAGCAATAAACGCCGTGTTTATTAACGTCGTGTAAGCCAATAAAAAGACTATATTCCACTTACCGTCATAAAGAAATCGCAACAGGTGTAATGAAACGCTGATAGCCTAAAATAGTTTTTCCACGTATTGCTTCCGCTGTTTTCTGTCGAGAATCTGACGTCCCACGAACAGGCGGAGCGAGCGGTGCGCACCTGTGCTTTGACAACACGCCCAGCACGCGCTCTCGACTAGACGGTAACCATAGTGCGCAACTCTCGCGAGATTCACAGGGATTTGAGTCGCGAAATAACTAAATGAATCGTTAAGAACAAATTTCACATTCATAAATGCAAGTTTACTAACAAAAAACCCCTTTACGTTTACTGTAGTACGACTGTATATGGACAATACTCATATTAGAGAAACTTTGAATAAGAAAGCTAAGACTTTAAAAGTTTGTGAGTTTTACAAACCATTTATTTGATATTTTTATACCCATGTCCTTCTTTTTTCTACATTACTACCACCCAGCACTTTTTAATTTAGTACTTGTTTTTCTCTTTATTTGTTTGCATTATGTATAATTGTATGATCAATATTTGCATTTGAGGTAATGTGCATGTATGTTGGTGTTTATTCAGTATTTATATACATATATATAAATAACCGTTATGTTTGTAAAAATACCTTAAAAGTGATGAATTAGCTGTTTGACCAAAAACATTGAGGAAAAAAAAAAAAAAAGCAGTTCAGAATATTGGTCAATTGCTGATCAGCATTGCAATATGAAATACAAATCCTGTAAAATGCCTTGGAGTGTGGAGTGTTACATAATTTCAGAAAACACAATCTCTGATCCTCATGTACACAAACCAGACACAACAGTCACGACAAGCACAAAAAATGATATAAATTAAGAATCCCTTTATTACAGATAATGTTACAGATGTTTAGTTCATTACAATTGTCAGACATTTATTTAGGACAAAGATGTGGAAAGGTTTAGTATGGCCGCATAGAACATCTAATCTCAGCCTAAAACTCTGCCTGTCAGCTAGTAAACCTGTGACCAGAAAAATAGAGGGGATTGCTCTAAAATATAGTAAAAAGCAGTATTTTGAGTGGTTAGAGGAGATGATGGATGTCTTAAGAGTTATTCTGCAAGTGCATTTGACAAGAAGGGGAGAAGGTGAGTCATTATTTTAGGGCTGAAAAACGGTCTCAGTAACTGCGACCAAACAGCGTGTAGAACTGCGCAGGCTCTTTGCCGCTGACGCACATCTGACCGGCCTGCAGGGTCTTCAAGCGCGTGCCAAACCGTGTGTGGAGAACCGTACGGTTCGATTTTTTTCTGCAAACCGTTCCACCCCTGTATGTATATATATATATATATATATATACACATACATACTAGGGCTGCACGACATATCGAAATATCGCAAATGTAAATATCGCAATATGCATATCGCAACGGCGTGCGATATTATTATCATTTTAATAATTGGCTACTTAAATCAAAACGTTGCAAAAGGTCAAAGTTTTAGTTCGACGCATATAGCA